ATTAAAATATGTATTGTGATAAATTGATAGCTTGTTCATGTAATATGGATTTATTATTTGCCCAGCTGTCAATAAACTAAGATATCCATGTGACACTCTTCTGGTAAATTTATGAGACCTGATTATTTTTATATCTAATAATATCTGATGAAGTATAACATGCCAGAAACATAGGTGTAGCCAGGATTTCATTGACGATGGGTCAATCCAAGAACCCAGCTACCCGGCTACCCAGCTACCCCTTTAGATTTTGCAGTACACTAGTCATGGTAGGGGTGGGTCAGGGTCTAGGAAGGATCAGAAAGAAGGAGAAAATACATCAAAAATGCTTTTGGCAGTGGAAGTAGAATAAATTTTTCATTTTTTATGACCCGAAGGATGGGGGCTGGGCACCCCCCTTAATATGCCACTGACCACTGTAATAGTTTGATTAGGTGTTGAATTGTCTCTTTAACTCACCAATCAGTGTCAATCTATCATTTTAACAAGTTTTTATTTTTATAAAAATGAGCATATCATTTAAACTGTCTTGTTTTCTGTTTGTAGTTAGTTGATACTTCAATTAGTTTTACATAAATTTAGTAGTCTCGCCAGTCAGCTGCAATTATTACAGTGAGATAATATATTAAAATATAAATTATATTGGTTATATTATCACCTTTACTTTCAAAATTACTTGAAACCAAGGAAAATACAAGATATTTTAACTTATATGAAGGGGACAGATGGGCAATTTTTTTGACCAATCATACCATAGTCTCAGAAGAATTTTTTAGCTGAGCTAATCAGTAATAGTGTTAACAGCTCACCGTTGAAATTTGAGCCTTCAAATCCATGTGTGTCCAGAATTATCTGTGTTTGAACTTTGAAAGTCCTCTCTTTTGAGACTCTGATATATAGAAAATACATCCATAGAAATTTGAGATATTTTTGAAGGAATTATGTGATTTTTATACCATCTAGTAGTTCTGAAGATTATTTACATATATTCAAGACTAAAATCAACCCCCCAAAATGGCGTAACACTCCCTTGAAAATGAGACTTTGTAAAAATGGTTGGATGATATTTAAAACAAAATAGAGTTATATTTTTGGGTAAAAGTTTATCAGTTAAAAACTTCTCTCCTAGAAATCTAGTTTAAATACTGAATAATATTGGGTGTAGCTAGTAATTACTGGTTTATAAACTGTATCTTGTTTAATACGTTACGTGAATTGGGCGTCACTCGATGGTTTATTGAATGTTTGCTAGGCAATGCACAAAGTGAACTCTGAATATTAATGAGTAGATGAAAGATAAAGGGAAATAACTCAACGAAGTTGACGTCCTGAATTTAGTCAATTTGAATATTGTAATTGGACCAATGCCGCTGCTGTCCTGGCATGGCTTTAGCAGTCTTTGTTAGCTCATTCAGGTGCAAAAAACCAGAATGTAAAACTGTATTGCTTTCATTTAAATGGAATAAAATATTTTGACTGTTAAAATAGTGCTCAATACATCAATTGTAGAGTGAAATAGAAATACCACTGTTAAAATAGTGCTCAATACATCAATTGTAGAGTTATATAGAAATACCACTGTTAAAATAGTACTCAATACATCAATTGTAGAGTGATATAGAAATACCACTGTTAAAATAGTACTCAATACATCAATTGTAGAGTGATATAGAAATATCACCGTTAAAATAGTACTCAATACATCAATTGTAGAGTGATATAGAAATACCACTGTTAAAATAGTACTCAATACATCAATTGTAGAGTGATATAGAAATACCACTGTTAAAATAGTACTCAATACATCAATTGTAGAGTGATATAGAAATACCACTGTTAAAATAGTACTCAATACATCAATTGTAGAGTGATATAGAAATACCACTGTTAAAATAGTACTCAATACATCAATTGTAGAGTGATATAGAAATATCACCGTTAAAATAGTACTCAATACATCAATTGTAGAGTGAAATAGAAATACCACTGTTAAGATATTGCTCAATACATCAATTGTAGAGCGATATAGAAATATTAAAACAGAACCTAATAAAAACATGTTGTTACTCAGAGTTTCACGCTATGCAATCTTCAGACAACGGACCTATATGAGCCTGCATCCCTACTGAAGTTAAAAGAAGAACTTATTCTCATGTCTACATTTGGAGACGAGTTCTATTCATTTAGTTCTATTGACTTTTAACACATAGTGAAGAATGTACCATGATTTATTTGGTTTAATCAAACTCAAGTTTGTCATTGTCAAGTTTTCAGGGTGGTAAAGTTGACGAGAGTTTAAAGTGAAGATATATTTTTGTGAGAGTTTTATCATCTAGTTTTAATGGAATGTTTAAAGAGACTACCCCACAGTTAAATGTAACAGGTGTAGAAATTTTCATTAAAAACATCAGCAATATTTCATTGCATTTAAGCAAACATACTTGTATGTTAATATTCATTTAAAAAACGAAAGAGAATATGTTAGTTTGACAGGTAGAGACCTATATATGGTATGTACAATTAAAATATTATTTTAAACAGTTTCATCCATGGTAATTTCATTTTGAGATTGTATTCCAAAATAAGGTCCAATTTACAAAATCCTCATTTGCCACGAAAAGTACTTCATTTCCTTTTAAAGGGACAATTGCACCATTTTGAGAGGTTGATTTAAGCCTTGAAATTATGTAAATAGTCTTCAGAAATACCAGAAATGCATGAAAGTCACATAATTCCTTTTAAAAAATATATCAGAAAATAGGAATTTTACTCACTATTTCTATATATTATGTCTTTTCTATATATCATAGAGTATCTTCAATTGACAAGTCGTCATTTTAACATTTTAAATCTAGACACACACGTGGATTTGAAGGCTCAAATTTCGACAGTTAGCTTTGAACATTATTACTGATTGGTTGGCTTTCCTAAAAAAAAATAATTTTTCCGAGACTTGATTGGTCAAAATGAATGGTTCATCTGTCCCTTTAAAGCCACTTTAAATAAAGGTATGAGATTACGAGAGTATATAATCTGAATTTATGATCTCTTGAACTATATAGTTATATACTAATTTATATTTTACTGTCATCACACTGTTTATATAGTAATAAACCTGGTTATTATTATTTTTACACCATTACACACTGAAAGATGTCACTGTCCTTTATTATAACATCACTTATATCATATACATGATGTATTCTAGACAGGACTTAGCCTACATATGGCATAACATGATGTTATATAATGTTATGATAGTATAAAAAAACCTAATATCCTTAGATCACCCAATAAAACAAAGACGTGGGAATATGTTTACATACTATAACAAAACATAATATAATTCTTATAACATTATATATAACATAACATGGCTTAACATAATGTTTACATAACATAATGTTTACATACTATAACAAAACATAATATCATTCTTATAACATTATATATAACATAACATGGCTTAACATAATGTTTACATAACATAATGTTTACATACTATAACAAAACATAATATAATTCTTATAACATTATACATAACATAACATGGCTTAACATAATGTTTACATAACATAATGTTTACATACTATAACAAAACATAATATAATTCTTATAACATTATATATAACATAACATTGCTTAACATAATGTTTACATAACATAATGTTTACATACTATAACAAAACATAATATCATTCTTATAACATTATATATAACATAACATAGCTTAACATAATGTTTACATAACATAATGTTTACATACTATAACAAAACATAATATCCTTTTTTATAACATTATATATAACATGACATGGCTTAACATAATGTTTACATAACATAATGTTTACATACTATAACAAAACATAATATCATTCTTATAACATTATATATAACATAACATAGCTTAACATAATGTTTACATAACATAATGTTTACATACTATAACAAAACATAATATCCTTTTTTATAACATTATATATAACATGACATGGCTTAACATAATGTTTACATAACATAATGTTATGTAGTGTTTATGGTCTTTTCATTATTTGAAAAAGAAATGTTTATGTAACATAATGTTCACCTAGGGACAAACATACATATATACAATGTATTAACAAACAGTATATATTTTTCTTGCTTGACTGTGGAGTAAAAGAGATGGGTATTATATATGTAGCGTATTATATTCAGAATTATACTGTATCTGTACTGGCAATACAAGCCTACCTGACTAAGACCAGGTATTGAGTACTGTATTGATTTTTACCTGTCTTGTATCCAATCAATCATCTGCTATGATTTTTACCTTCTACCATTCTTAATGACTGTTTCTGATTCATTTACTGGAAATATTTTGGATCACTGTTGCTGTTTCATTTGGTAGAATTTTTCTTAAATTAAGAAATTTGTAATTAAGGGTGATTTGTCGTTGTGTTATTCTGATCAAGTTGTATTTGGGTTATAAGATGTAGATATATTCAGTTTTAATAAAGGGTGATGTGATTGGAGGGCAAATTTGTCTTTCTAGGATTCATTGAGACAGTTTCTTTTAATGTAAATGAAACTTGTGAAATCACAAAAATACATGTAACATAATTTAGAAGAGAAATGTGAACTCTCTAGAAGGATCAGTCTTGTGAACAAGTTATTGTGTATTATCAAGTAAATATCAGTCAACATGTTAACATTTTGTTGTCATTTTGTTGATTTAGTGTAATTTTGGAAAATATCCTGTCTGATGTTGTCTAGGGCAGGATTGATATATTTTAAGTGAATAGTTCATTAGCTACTACCAATGTTTCGCCAATTTGTTGTTTTGGATTTCGGGTTTCGTTTTGTGGTTTGGATCGTTTGTAGGCTATTTGGTTTATTTATTCTATAAACAAGGATTGAGAAATATGATATTGTGATCCCGTCTGATTGAGTTTTAATATTTACTTTAAGAATAGATGTAAACATGACAATGTGACAAACCTTATTAACATTATTTAAAAATGTCTGTAAAGATCTTCAAGTCATGTTATACTCATGTGTTTAAAACACCGTTTAATAGTAAGTATTAGATAGAGATCTATCAGCTGGTGAGAAATCAGCAAAACCAAGGGAACTAAAAAAAAATGGATAGTCATTTAAATGGTGAAAAAAAACCAACTGACTTAATGTGATGATAACAGAACAGAGTTGAGATCCATAATAATTTTGAAAAATAGAATTTCTTTGGTGCACTCCCGACACATTTTTGGGGACAAAATTGTGTAAAAATGATATTTTGAAATTGTTATAATTAAAGGGAGAGTGCAACTGGGGGTACGAACTATTTTTCATTACCCCCAATGTCACCCCTCACTGAATCCACTAAATATTTCATAATGTTGACCAAATAATAATCAGAGAATCTCGGTGTATTTTCAGGAGAGGGGAAGAGGAATGAAGGTGAAGGACAAGAAATGAAGAATGGTCAATCAAATCAGGTTGGTATTTTTATAACGAAATATAATAAAACAGAACCTGAAACATGAACAGGTCACTTCTCGGTCAGCGTGAAATTCTGAGTAAAGCCATGAATGGTGTGGTGTTCGATGTGTGGTGTTCGATGTGTGGTGTTCGGTGTGTGGTGTTCGGTGTGTGGTGTTCGGTGTGTAGTGTTTGGTGTGGTGTTCGGTGTGTGGTGTTCGGTGTGTGGTGTTCAGTTTGTGGTGTTCGATGTGTGGTGTTCGATGTGTGGTGTTTATTCATATAAGTATTAGCATTTTCATTTTCATAAATAAAAATAAGGGAACCCATCTATAATTTTCACTTGCTGGGGCCCAGCCCCCATGGACTCCACCCTAGCAACAGGGCTGGTTTATCAACATGTTTCAGTTTCTGTTGTAATATATTTAATTGAGTGAGTGAGTGAATATATTTTGTCAGTAAAATTTTTTCCCCTAAAAATTTGATTTTCAACATTTGTTCACCATTAACTTTTTATCCAACTTTATTAAAACTTTGATAGAAATATTTTAATATTAACCCTGTAAATTGAACCAGACTGCCAATAATCAATCGAATCAGGTTGGTGTTTCATGAAGTGATGACAAGTGTCACACGCAAGACACAGACTCTTTTTAAAATACCTAATGTTTTTACATATACTGCTGTTAAATTTTTCAAAATCAGTCTGATTTCAAAAGAGATTTCACCATTTCTCACTATTCATTACAACTATGTATGAATTATTTTAAAATATAGCCTGTAAATTAACACAGACTGCCTCTTTAAGACTATAAGTGACTTATCTATATATGATAAATGTAAATGTTGAATGTAAACAATAGCGGTAGGTCTGATGAGTTTGTTTACAAGATAAAAGTATATTAAACATCAGATTGTGTTGCATGAATGCATGTGCATTACGATAATAGTCTAACTAGCCATAAGGCCCTACCAAATCAACTAGCCATAAGGTCTAACCAAATCAACTAGCCATAAGGTCTAACCAAATCAACTAGCCATAAGGCCATACCAAATCAACTAGCCATAAGGTCTAACCAAATCAACTAGCCATAAGGTCACACCAAATCAACTAGCCATAAGGTCACACCAAATCAACTAGCCATAAGGTCACACCAAATCAACTAGCCATAAGGTCTAACCAAATCAACTGGTCTGGTCTTTTCTTTCTCGAAATTTTATTTTTGAAATGAAACAAATTATAACACATCATCGAAATCAATGATTAAATAACTTTTTATAATGGAAAAAAATATATAAATAATTACAATACTCCTTTTTTTCCTCAAGAAATCCCAAAAAACAGAAAATTATTTTGTTATTATTTAAAATCTTGGCAGATCATTGATGTTGTTTTAACCTCACATGTCGGTCAGTCCACAATCGATCCTAAACACTCCAGAAGGCACTAAAACAAAAAACATCCCATTAAGTCTATACTGGTCCAAAAGATATGCCTCTATTCCAGCCTCTTTCAGATATTTTGACAGTTCTCGGCTGGAGTAGTCAGAAAAATTAAAATTATACCATTTTCCACTCTCCACAATAATGATATTAAATTACCTTTGCAGTTTCGTTGAAAAGAATTTGCGATAGAAGCTGAAATAGAGGCAGATGTTTCGGACTATGTCTATATCCCCATCATGATAAGACAAGATGAGATCAGACTTGTGGTTTGAATAGCACTAAACTCCTACAATAAAAATTGTGAAAATCTTTTGAATTTTTATGTAGATTTGTTTAGTTTTATGTAGATTTATGTATATCTATGTATATTTGTGCATATTTATTATGTATATTTATGTATGTGTATGTAGATTTGCATATATTTATTATGTATATTTATGTATATTTGTGTATATTTGTGTATGTTTATAATGTATATTTGTGTATATTTATGTATATTTATGTATATTTATGTATGTAGACTGTAGAGGAGAAGGAATATGGTGTACCTGGTTTCAAATCAACCGCTACTGGCGTGAAGCTATCATCACTACACCATCCTCTTCCAGTACTAACACATAAATTACCAGTTAAACCCTTGCATGGTGTCCTTACTACAATAATAACTTCTAATAAGGTTTGTTTATCTTCCAGCCCTACCATCATTTCATAATGTCAATACCTTGACTGCAAAAACCACCTTTCTTATATCATAGTTTGTAAATTCAGTGATTTGATTGGATTGTAGACTAGCGAATAAAGCCAATCACAATACTAGATTACATGCATAGCCGAATTGCTTACAGCCTTTTAGTCTGATTGGCTGTGTACTATCCAATCAAATTACTGCATTTACTAACTTCTGTGATAAAGGAAAGGTGACTGTTGCAGTCAAGGTATAAGACGAAGACACTTGATGTTGTGAAGATGGCCCTACACTATACTTTCGAGACAATACTTTCATATTTATCAAAATCAATGATGCCAGCTGACAGTCTGACTTGTTAAAGTATTGATGACCAATGCTGCATGACGTACATGTTTTAGGTCCTTAAACCATGGATGATACAGTAGGCTAAAGTGGCAACCTGGCAAAAAAAAACCAAAGAAAACCAAAACATTGCATTGTTCGTGTAATATTAGTAACAAACTGGCATTTCTCAGAGCACATTGAACGACATTGTCTGTCCTTACTGCCTCAATAATAACTAAATTAGGATTGACACACTCTTTTAATATTCGTCCATTTTGAATGAAATAGAGCTGTAAAGTAAAAGCATGTCTCTTTAAAATGTATTTTGTTATATATAAAGCTGTGAATAGATGAGGTACAAGTCCGGACACCGGGCGGACAAGATTTGTTTCTACTATTTTCTACTATATCAATAATCCCGCACTGTACACCTCACCTAGTCTATTCCCACCCTTAGCATGAATTGAATCAGTTTTCATCCCCTCTCTTATTATCTCCCGTACATTTCATGTTTTCGTGCATCTTGATCATGATTGGGATGTCTGATCTTGGCCTGTCCTTCTATAGGAGAGTATCTTCTATAACACCCAACACCCAATGTAAACATTTTGTCTCTCCACAGTTTTAGGCTACAGATGCCCAAGACTCTTATTTTGTTTGACTTATTTTGCATGTGAGACAATTGATGGGATTGGATGTGCAATATTTTGATAAATACTTAATGGATTATTGCCCTTGCCATTCTGTTAGTCTACTTATATAAGCACTAAGATGAGATTAAATGTGGCAATATTCTTACAGATACTCAAAGAGTTATTGCCCTTGTCAGTTTGTTACCAGATTTATCCCTCACATGTGAGATATGAATAAAATGTTTAATCTTTTGTCTGTTCCAGAAATCCACAAGCCTTCCATCTAGAAATGATGACCCAATAAAACACAGACGTGGTAATAATTTTAACCAACTTCTTCAGAAATTCTCAAGTTCTGAAATTTCGAGTTCTGAGAGATCTGAAAGTGATGCGAGCAGCCGTGTTACTGGACGATCTCGACAAAGCAAACATTCGGGAAGTATAAGTAGTAGTGATGAATCGAACACGGATCGCCAAACCCCCGAACGTTCCCATAGTTTTAAATTACGAACTGTCAAAGAAAATGATGATTCTCCAAATGTCCCAAAACGTTCATCGAGTTTCAAATCAGATTTTATGCGGCAACGTTACGAAGTGGACAAACCACCTGAGGAAGAATTTGTATCTGTTTTACAGTCCCGCAGTGAAATTACCGATAAATCAGATCTGATATCTCTTTCTAAGTACGAAAATTTAGACAAAGTTAAAACTGTGATTTCCCCAGTTGAAGAAATAATCGTAGATAAAGAATTGTCAGCTGTTTTAAAATCGCGGAGAAAAGAAACTGACGAAAAAGTTGAAAAAGATCAAAATTCGAATAACTCTTCAACACATATCTCTAAACCATATCAAGATGCTTTCATATCGGACAGTTTATTGCAATCTAAAAGCCGAGTTTACAATATTGATTCAAGTTTGGCCGAACTTTCAAAAGTGACTGAAGAACTAGATAAACCTGAATCTACCATATCCAAAACTTATTTATCTGACACCGAATTTGGACAAATAACGAGCCAACGACGTAAATCGAGTTCTGCATCGTTATCAGATGCCGTACAATATATCAAAGATGTTGAATCTTCCATATCTTCACGCATATCTGAAACCATTTCCAAACATCAAGATGAGAAGAAAAACAGTCGAGAAACATCGCCACTTGACGGTGTGTCGAAGAATTTTGATCAGAACAAGACTGTGCAGCACTCCTCGCAAATTATAGCTAGCCAAAAACAAGATGTCAAAGATCGACAAATTTCTTCAGACTCAAACAGAGCCGCCTCCCTTGAATCAAAAACTGTTGTGCCCAGGGGTATAGAAATAGTAGATGAAAAACCGAAATCATTTGCCTTATCTGAGACATTACAAATTAAAAATGTGACTTTGGAAGAATCTTCAACTGATGACCTTTTTGAAAATGTTTCTACTGAGATGTTGTCGTCTGCACAAGACAAAATGGCTGACAAGAGTATGTCTGGTGTTTCCATTACACCAGCTATCATCATAGATAAACAATCAATTAGTAACAGCAGAGAGAATGATGCCAAATTACATGACATTAACAAATCCAAGATGTCCGCCACTGTTAGAAGAGATAGTGCAGAAACAGAGACCAGACGGGTTGTGGTGTTGGAAGAGAAAACACAAATTTATTCATCTAAAATCAAGAATGAAGAAGATTCCAGCCAGTCTTGGTTGATTAAATCTGATAATTTGTCTTTAGATGCCGCAGTGAAGAAAGTTGATGAGGTTCACTCACAACAATTTGGCGACTCTGCCAAAAATTCTTCCTTAGTTACCAATACTTTACCTAGTGACAGTGAATCTGTGGCCTCAGAAACAAAATATCCTCTACAAAAAGACTCCTTACCTTTACCCAGTGAAAAATATTTGGATGTTAGTGAAAGTACGATTTTAACGTCCAGTGATCGTTCCAGGGATATTAGTGATAATTCAGCAGATGATCATGTGAAATGTAAACCGAAGTCGACTGGATTAAGTCGATCGGAATCTTTGAAAACTACTGGATTGAAACGAACTGAATCTTTCGAGAGAAGGAGAGGGATTTTAAAACGTACCCCATCGTTACCGAAACAATCAGGGCCCATCATTGATGAGCAATTAGCAAGGATTCTACAGCAGAGAAAGAAACAAGTTGAGACGGAAGATTCCCCAGAGGAGGAGAAACCTGGTAGCAGACGTCTGTCAGTGACAGATGAAATAGCAGAAATCATGAAGTGAGTAAATTTCAGTCTTATTTTACCAAATGGTCGTATGTTTCAACCTAATTTCCCCCTGTCAGTGATGTAGGTAAGAGGGGCTGACATGGAAAAAGCGTCTAGTTGGGACAATAAACCGAGGCCCCATGTGCTACAGGCTGTGCAAGTTAAAGATCCCTCAACAGTTGGAAATTGAAAAAAGAGCAGGTTAATGCCGCTGTCCTGGTAAAATTTCCCTCAATGCACCCTGCATGGAGTTGCCCGTCTTCATTAGCCCACATGGTGCAGAAAAGTAGGACGTAAAACTCCATTCATTTCATTTCATTTACCAACTGGGTTTATTCATGACTTAACTTAAATTTGTAAGGAGATTTTCTAAACTTTTTAGTGTCAATTTGTACAATTTCAATTCCAGTCAGACATCTGTAGGTCTGGCAATTCCATTAAAACTAAGTTTTTTTATGACATAACTTTTGCAAAAGTCCTTATATATTATTGATCAGAAGCATGGAAGTTTACAAATAAAACTAAGCAAGTAAGTCTTACTGTTTAGGAAGAAGGCAAGATCGCTTTGCTTTTTCCGATCTGTTCTATAATCTGACTAGAGATCTGTGTTATATCCATGGACCAGGTAGCAGGTGATTGTTGTAGTTAGAAAGTTGTAATTAGAAAGTTGATTTTGCTCTATGATAAACATGTGATAAACAGTGGGGGGTCTAGAGTTATTGACTGTAATAATGAGACTCATAATACCAGTCTATACCCATCTTCACAGTGTCAAACTATAACAAACTTCGTACTTACACCTTGACTGCAATAACCACTATTTTTGTATCAAGGAATGGGGTGATTTGATTGGATTGTACACCAGCGAATATAGTCAACAAGGGCTCTCAACAGAAAGACTTTTTGTACAATCCAAATTGCATGTGCAATGTGCAAGGTATAGTACATACCTCTATGATACAAGAATAATGGTTATTGCAGTCAAGGTATAAGAAGAAGTTTGTAATATCTTGACATTGTGAAGATGGGTATACCTTTTCACTGATTATATTTTTATTACCTTCTACTTGTTAACCCTGTGCCTGTCAACTTGCCAAATATGTTAATATATTATATGATATTGATCTAGAGATAGAGTCTCTACTCACTTCACTTGTTTTCATTAACAAGATGGGTGCCGCGGTGGCTCAGTGAGTTAGACGCTTGTTCGCTAACCTGAAGGTCCAGGGTTCAATCCCAGCATACGTCGAGATAATACCTTCGGATTTTTCAACCTGGTTTCCCCCTGTCAGTGATGCAGGTAAGAGGGGCTGACATGGAAAAAGCGTCTAGTCGTTCAGATGGGACAATAAAACAAGGCCCCGTGTGCTACAGGCTGTGCATGTTAAAGATCCCTTGACAGTTGGAAATCGAAAAAGAGCAGGCTAATGCCGCTGTCCTAGCAAGATTTCCCTCATTGCACCCTGCATGGCGTTGCCCGTCTTCATTAGCCCAAAAGGTGCAGAAAAGTAGGACGTAAAACTCCATTCATTTCATTTTTCATTAACAAGACATTAATTAGAGTTTTAAGACTTGTTGGTTAGTCTGAAACATCTGCTTCTATTCCCCGAAAAATCCCCATAAAACAGGGCCTAGTTTTTCTGTCTCTAAACCAGCAATAAAAACAGGTATCGGAGGATTGATTAGAGGCAGATGTTTTGATCTATGTGGTTGGACAGACTTTCTCAAGATACATTGAAATAGTAAATTTATATAGTACTCTTTTATTGAAAATTCAAATTTTTGTCAGGGTACTCCCACTGTCTCATGGAATATGATGTCTAAGGCATTGGCACTCATATTAAACAGCACCCTGTCAGTTGTAATATTACCAAACTCTCAATGCACATTTGGCAACTTATACTGAAAAAAATAATAATTACAAAATTTCCTGGTCCATTGATAGCAGAGCTAAAGTCTACAGAAATAAAACCAAACGATGTAGCCTGTATTTAACTGAAAAGTTTTTCACCATTAATGCCCCTTACCACACTTCTCTAAAGGAAATAGGCTCAAAATAGGCTCAAAATAGGCTCAAAATAGGCTGAAATAGGCTGAAATAGGTCTGTTGTCTTAAGATCGCATACCATGAAACTCTTAGTAACAACATGTTTTTTTAAGGTTCTGTTTAAACTTTTTTTAAATCTACAAGAAATTTCGGGCCAAGTTGGCTATTAGTAGCTTAAAAAGAAATATTGTTTCTTCTTTCTCTGTCTTTTAAATGACCTGGTTGTTTTCGAGAATTAGACTGTACATGGGTAGTGATAATAGTGAATGGGGTAGTGATAATAGTAAATGGGGTAGTGATAATAGTAAATGGGGTAGTGATAATAGTAAATGGGGTAGTGATAATAGTAAATGGGGTAGTGATAATAGTAAATGGGGTAGTGATAATAGTGAATGGGGTAGTGATAATAGTAAATGGGGTAGTGATAATAGTAAATGGGGTAGTGATAATAGTAAATGGGGTAGAGATAATAGTAAATGGGGTAGTGATAATAATGAGTGATGTATTTTTTAGAAGAGAGAAGCAGAATAAAACCAATCAGCAGGAAGATGATGAAGAAGAAGAATCTAACGCCAGCGTGTCTGAGAGAATATTTAAAATGCAAACAAAGATTGAGGAAGAGAAGTTTGCGGCAACTCCGAGATCACGATCTGGTATTGCTACACCCAAATCACCATTTAGAATCAGGTAGGTGTGATCTTCATTCCATTTATTGTTTTTTACGTTGGCAATATTTTTAGGTAATTTAGTCCTCCTTTGATATTTGTCCATTTGTTAACACTTAGTTCCAAATTGACATTACAAAGTTGACATTACCAAATTGACATTATCAAATTGACATTACCAAAGTTGACATTACAAAGTTGACATTACCAAATTGACATTACCAAAGTTGACATTACAAAGTTGACATTACCAAATTGACATTATCAAATTGACATTACCAAGTTGACATTATCAAATTGACATGACCAAAGTTGACATTATCAAATTGACATTATCAAATTGACATTATCAAGTTGACATTATCAAAGTTGACATTACCAAGTTGACATTATCAAATTGACATAACCAAGTTGACATTATCAAATTGACATAACCAAGTTGACATTATCAAGTTGACATAACCAAGTTGACATTATCAAATTGACATAACCAAGTTGACATTATCAAATTGACATAACCAAGTTGACATTACCAAGTTGACATAACCAAGTTGACATTATCAAATTGACATAACCAAGTTGACATTACCAAGTTGACATTACCAAACTTAACATTATCAAGTTGACATTATCAAATTGACATTACCAAACTTGACATTACCGTTAAAAGACTGATTGATATTTCAGGTCTGGTGCTGTCACACCTAAAAAGCAGATGTCATTTGATGAGTTGCTACCCGGTAAAGATGATGTTCTGTCCAGTGAGAAGCTGTTCGAGCGATTGACCACACTGGCAGAAGATGGTAAAGTTGAAACAATTCAAGAAAGAAGACGTAAGTTAGAAGAATCTCAAGAAAAACATCGTCAATCTCAGAAAGCTAAACGTGAAAATTGGAGGAGACGAACTCAGCCTATTACTCTCGAAGAAATTACAGAAGCTGACAGGTTAGTTACACATAATCATCGGCCAAGACATCAGAATCTTTCTAATATTGAGGGGATTTGAACCCCATAGCACCTAAGCACCATGCAGACAGCAACTGGTAACAAACTGATCTATTCCACTACCATTCCACTAGTTGCTACAGAGTTGAAATCCTAATTTCTCCATATTCCATTTATCTCATATCACTCATTAATTCTTTTCTTTTCAGTATCATTTTAATACAAGACAAAAAAGAAATTTCAAAACCTCGAATTGCTCGATCAGATTTCCTCCTCTTAATGATACAGGCTGGAGGGACTGACATGGAAAAAGCTTTGGGCCATGCTGATAAGAATCCCTTGATAATACATACCTTAGGTTAATTTCACTGCCCTGCCAAATTTCCCTCAGTGCCCACTGCATTTTTCCTTTTATCTTCATTAGCTCAATAATTGTTAGAAATGAAAGATGTAACACTCTATTTATTTAATTTGTAATTTCAGTTTAGACTCAGTATCAACATTTCGTGCGTTGGTTAGAAAGAAAGCAACAACCACGATGTTTGAACATCTAGAACAGAGACAAAAATTACCAATTCATGTGAAAAAATCAGAATTTCCAGAACATATCCAACCGACAAAAAAACGTCGCAATCGAAACGAACGTTATCAAACAACTCCTGTCACGGCAGCGGAACTCTTGTGTATTCCAGAACATGAAACGATGGAATCAGAATCTCTGAGAGATAAATTCATGTGTCGTAGTCGACAAGATTCCAAAGCAGATTCTGGAATTCTTTCAGGTTCCGATTTTGAAAATCTTTCGGCCACTTCAGACAGTTTACGGAGCCTCACTCTGGATATGGATTTAGCTGAAGATGATACGTCCAGATTAAGTGTATCAGCGAAAACGTCGTTCTTCAAACAAATGGAAGAAAAAACAACTAAAGATCGTTACAGAGGTTCGGCTAGCGGTGCCAAGCGATACATAGATCGTAAAAAACGAGAACGTTATCTGACTCAACCAATCACAGAAGAGGAAGTAAAGTCGGCGGCAGAAATGAACGACGAACCGAAACAGGTTAATATAACACAACCAGAGGTGGTGAATCGAACTAAATCTTTAGATATTACAGATGATCAAGAGGAAAATGATGAATTAACAAGGTAAGGATTATCTCCCTTTGTTTTATTATTTTCTCTCCTGCTACTAGTTGACAAAACAGAATGTGTTTTATAATTTCTGTTTTTAGTTCATTGAACAGAGTCAGTAGTGTGATTCAGATAATATGAAGAGAATTCAGTTGTCAATCTATGTTAAGGGAAAGGAACTGATCCATAAACAAAACCACAAGGATTAAGGGGGATTAAAAGGGATTA